CTTCAATTTTTTTGCATACCTCCTTGATTAGCCTAATTGTTGTGATAAGCTTATTAACTAGAATAATTCATGCTGAGGGGTAGCAGCTTGTGACCCCCTTATTCAGTCTTATTCTATCTGTTTTAATATACAGTTACATCATTTGCTGTTCTGAATATATTCATTGGCATCAAACATTCATCGAAGTGAGTCTCAACCAATGACATTGACACTCCAATCGACATATAAACCTGTTCTTTCAATGGAGACCTTTTGAAATGAACTACAACGAACTTATCTCCCGTAATTGGAGAATTTGAACAGCAAAGCTCTTCTTGTTTAAGGGACTAATATCGGGCCCACAGGGCCGAATCCATAATAGGGGGTCAATTAAAATGGGCCCTTCCGTCATGCGACGGTACGTGCTCAGGTTGGATAGGGCCATACCAACGCTATTTAAATACATCGACAAAATTGTATGAATAAATCAAGTCTATTTTAATGCATCAAGAGAATTGTCAATTAAAATCTACCCTCCTCGATTACAGCTCAGATAGAATTGTCTATGTTGGATGCATTTTTAAGTTTTTTGCACCCCCTAAAGCAGAGGATTGCACTCCTCAGAAGTGCAAAACTTATTTGTGTTCTTATATAGTTAATTGTGTCCGAGTATGATTCATTCCGTTTTTCGCTTAGTTTCTCTGCTAGTTTCTGGACGGTTTTTGTAGAGCCCGGTGCTGCTCCTCCGGTACACGTAAAAATTAGTGGAACAAAGCTGCTGTGTTCCACATCCAGAATTCTTTGTTGGTATTTTAATGTTTTGACGCTCTCATGATATTTGTAGGCGTCAGATATAGTTTTAGGGCAGGATTTAGCATGGGGGTTGAAAATTTTTACATCGAAAAAGATTCGGCTGAATCGGCCTCCCCAGAGTCCATTTGCCTTGATGTCAAGTCGAGCGTCATCTTCAGTAGTGGTTGTTTTGTTGTGAAAATTTTTGCCTTCCAACGATTGAAGTTTCGGCTCTATTTCAACATCATGGCATACTTCGTCCAGGAGTGTCGCAAGGGTATCGCGAATTTCATTATGTCTTAGGTGAGTTTATCCACCTTTGGGACAGTGTACGGAGTGGGTCAGTGTGAACGGTTGTCCACACGGGCATATATGTGGGGTGCTTGGTGGTACCCATCAATATCTCAGATGTAATCCATCTTTAAACTCTGATCTGTTGAGAGATAAATGGTATTTTTTTAGGGGGAGCACGCTCAGCCAATTCGATGCGCCTTTCTGTGAAGCTAGATTTATTGTCCGTTTTTCTCTGATGAGCAAGTTTCCATAATTTTAGCCTTTTTTGAGAGTGAGATGTTCTGTTTCTCAGTTTTGATGTTTCTATTTATCAGAGTTTGTTCCGTTTCAGCTATTTCTATAACACTGTTTTCTAAGGGATCACAAATAGCTCGTGACCACTCATAGTTTTTGGAAAAGTCCGTGTTACTGAGGAAGTCTAATCCTCCCATTCTTAGCGGTAGAGCAAAAAGGTTGCGATCTTTATCGGTTATATGGTTTTTACCAGTAATACTAGGAAGTAACTGCTGTCTTGCGTTTTTCTCAATTTCATCCATTTTATTACATGCTTCCGGAGTTGTTCTGGTTAGAAAGCTTAATTTATTCTGAACTCCCTTTGTGTAGCAGGAGTACGCATTTTGTGATGATGTTATAGCTACTTTGGAAAGCTTTTCAGTTAGGGTAGCTGTCTTTTCAATTTCGCTTTCGATGTACTTATCGCATGCTGATGGTGTTCCTATGACCGATCCAAGGACTCTAAAACCGTCTACCATTGTAATATTTGTGCCTTCGAATACTTTCATGGCTCTTTCACGACAGTTTTCCTTTACTTTGAGTTGACACTTAGAAGGCTTCACATTGTACCCGAAAGCCTTTCCGTGCACATCTAGGTTGTCCAGTATTGCGCGGAGACTCTTAAGATCACCTGCAGTGCTTCCATCATCTTCGTACCGTTTTTGGGTGACATTTGGCTTTTGCAAGAGCTCAATCAGCGGGACTATTCTAATTCCGTACATAGCCATTGCGAGGGGATCACCTTGCGTTGTGCCTTCCGTAGATGTCAAAACCGTGTTATTGACATATAAATTTGAGGGATGTTTATATGAGTTGGCCAGCGAATGATGTAGTGCCGGACAAAAGATTTCTACATTTTTTAGAGCAAGTTCTCTATTGAGCGAGTTGAAGGCGTTTTCTGCATCAATTAGTAGTATGGCTTCCGTTTCCGGTTTCTCCAACTCCTTCCTCAAGCTGTGGATAGCATATTCGATTCCACACTTCTGGCCTAAGCAGAGTTGGAAATTTTTTCCGAGATTTTTAAAGTCTGATTTTATACATTGGGTGATTGTTTTGCCAATTATTCTTCTCAGAACCTCGCCCATACCAATGGGCCGTACCCCTGGATTTTTGTCCAGAGGTAACAGACGACACGAGTTGTAAGCTGTTAAGTTTTCATGGGGGACAACTTTACTTGCTATTGTATAGGATAGCTTAGCAATTGTCTGGTTGAACTGAGTTAATATCCTTCTCCATTCGCACGCATCTAGACCTGAGAAACCGTGGCTTCCGTGCGTTTTCAGGGTTGATTTTCGAACTGTCTTGGCGTTTATTTGTTCGAATATAGAGGGGTGGTTTGGCATTGTGTCTTCATTTAATTCAGTTATATAGTTAGTAGTTGCTGTTTTGGCTGGGGGATGTTTTTTTTCAGGATATTGAGGACTGTTTTTCCTTCAATGACTTCGTTTAGGGGAAGTACTCCTTTTGTTTTCTTGTCTGAAAGGCAGCCAATGGCGGCAGATTTTTTGCCTGTACTCATTAGTTTATCAAATTGCTTAGCTTCCTCGTTTACTTTGGACTTCTTCTGTTTTGGATGTCTAATTTGGAGAGCTTTCGCTTCAGTGAAAAGTTCGTCTAATAGGCCTTGCTTTCATAAAATTATGCGGCGGCTCACTGTTTTGGATTTTGATCCGTTTGTTTCTGATTTAGTTTTGGGGAGCAGCAGATGTGGAGAATCATTGCTGCTTTCATTGCGACGTTATAATTCGGTGTTTCTTCTACTAATGACAACAGCTGCTGGTTCAGTAATTCTATGAATTGGAAACGGGGCTTGTTCTTGCTTAGAACTATGAAGCGCGGTTTCCAGTTAACGACATTTTTGTATATGTCATTTATTTTAATTTCAAGTTCTTGGTCGATAAGTTTTCAGGGGTCGAAGGGGGCTTTAGTGATTGCTGGGGGCGATGGATAAGATTGTGTTGCGTTGGGCAGTGCTTTTGTTTCAGGTGTTGCCGGTGATGTTTCTTTTTGAATTGTGATGGGATCTCTGCTTGTTCGTCTGTTTGTGGAATTAGGCCCCTTTGCAAAGTTCTCGGGAGTGCATTGTATGCAGGAGAACCCATCGTAATAAAATTTGCTGCTCTGTAGCCCGCTACATGAGACATGGATGTATGCTTTGCAAATGACACACCATATGCCTCCTTTTCGAAGGTGGCGTTTGCAAATATGGCAGTGCGTTTGATCGGCCATAATTTGGCATCGAGGAGGGTAAATTATGGTGAATATATACAAGTAAGCTGAGCGAGCAATAAACTGAAAATTTCATTGGCCTAAAGAGAAAAATGAATACCATCTTTACAAAACATATTAGCACTAAAATTAACGTTTAGATTGGGGGAAATAATTCGAATTCTTGAGTGGTAAAATGTATTAATAAGGCGAAACAAAGAGTTATTTAAGGCACCAAATTTTCTGTTTATGAACTGATTATTTGCAGAGAGGATGGTTTTGGGGATAATAAGCACATTTGGGTTAAACTTATGAATTATCAAATTTATTAAAAATCTCCAATCATTAGAAAAGTCTGAAACCGTAGATGAGTTATTATTAAAGCCTGCTACTATAGTAACACAGTTCAATTTCTGCGAGGGGTAGCGCGAGACAGTAGCGGCAAGGTCGGCTAGTTTTGCACCTCTCTACGAGTGAACTGTGGCTCCGAAATCTTTGGGGCTGCAGTACTTGGTCCTTGAGGTTCCTATTACTAATTTCCTGCTCCACTTGGGTAGCCACTTCGGCCTGTACTTGGCACGGACATTCACTAAACAGGGTACAAAAGAGACAAAATAAGAGAAAGAATAGATTGTTATATGGATTGAAGAGAATTAGAATTAAAAAACAAATAAAAAAGAAATGAAAGCGATTACAACCTGGTTTTTTACGGGTGGAGGTTCCGGCGGGGATGTCCGGGTAGAGGGGGGGGGGGGGTTGGGTGTATCGCGGCTTGACCATCTTGTCTATAAAATCTCGTAACCGGGCCTTCTTCTTACAAGCGTACCGTTATGAGCGTATCATATCACATGAAACTATTTAATAAGTTTATCACAACAATTAGGCTATCACAACAACATTTGCGTATGTATCCATAATACATACATACATTAAGCTTAGTAAATGTCAACCTTCAAAACTAAGGAATGGCATATAATCGAACAAGGTTACGTAGCAGTTTTTAGACCACCGAGTATTCATTCTCTTCAGTAAGCAGACAAAAACTATATGAACCAATCAGAATGGAGACAAAGAAAAACTTAATAATTAGTTATTTTTCTGTTCGTAAGTTTGCTTTCTCACCACGATTCTGATGGTTTAATATAGTATCTGTCTTCTTACTGACAGTTATGAATACGCGATTGTGTAACTAAGTACGCGGGTAGGTTGCACTATTTAGACAACCGCGTATTTATACTCGTAAGCCGACAAGTGCTGTAGTAAACAATCAGAATCGAGTCTAATAAGACAATAATTTTTATTTTTTTTCCAAAGTTTGCTTTATCATCTTGATACTGATAGGTTAATATATTAGTTGTCTGCTTTCAAAAATAACGAAAACAAAAAATACGAAAACAATAATTAACACTTTTGGAATATTAATCAATTATCAAGCTGTGGTCGAAAGAGTATCACTACTTGCAACGATACGGCCTTTTCTTGCCATGAGTTGCTCTGAATTTTTGTGCCTTTATGTCAATGGTTTTTGCCTGATAGGGATAAATGGCTGTTCGTACCTCAAGAACCTTTGCGTAATCTGTCTGCATGTTTGTTTCAAGAAAGAATCCTGAGTAGTATAGTATTTTTGTAAACATATGAAATTTCCTTGCAATTTGCGAGTTGTCATAATTCGTCATCTATTAAGTTTTTTATTCATAGTCAGCTGAAGTCTTCTCTTTCCGTTCTGTCAGAAAGCCCTTGTTTTTCAAATCAAGCTGACTACCAAAACCAGCATATCTGTTGTCTCCTTCTAGCCATTTCTTATATTTTTCCAAGTCTTCACTCTGTTCCTTCTGTATCAAGTGCTTCATGGGAGTTGATTTTTCCATCAACCTCAGATATTTGTCAACAATCTGTTTTCGCGTTATGTCTGTGTTGTACGCTGCAGCTATCAGAACGAACTGCTGCTTTGTACCTGAAATAAACCCGATGTTGTAATTCTCAATAAAAAACTTGAATCAATCGAGTTAGTCACATTTTAATTTTAAATTTTTTTTAAAAATGATTGAGTTTCTAACTTGAAACAAAGAAGTAAAGATACCTTGATGCATTTCATCTACGCAAAACTTCTCCGGGTGTCGCTTTATAAAATCCGGCGTTTGAATCTTCTTCTCGAAATAGAAGGAACTCTCATCTCGCGAGATTTCTCCAGGCTTCTTTTCCGGACTTGCTTCGCGACGAGTAGACCCCGTATTTAGAGTCGTTTTTTCACCGGCATCATCATTGACTATCGCGTCATCGCGAGTCGGTGTGCCAGTACGAGATTCATTGTCCTTTCTTTCTAAAGGAGACTTATCTTTCGGATTGTTCCGTCTGGGAGGTTGAGATCCTTTTTGATTCTAAAATGAACTCGAATTTGGCTAATTTCTCTAGAAGAAGTTTTTTGGACAATTTTTGAAACGATCTGTTGTTTCCTGAAAACACAAAGTACTGATTTCTCTGCAGCAAATAAAATGTTCTCACTTTTTTGCTAGGCGCATGAAGGCGACTTTGCTGTCGCTGTAAGGCATAGGTTTCCCATCGAGGACTTAAGTCCTTAGTTTGCTCGTAATTGAATGGATGTTTGATCCAGTTATCCTTGCTTTGTTTGCCTCTTTGATCTACATTATGCTTCTTATTGGACGCGTCATTTGTCGACATCCTGGAAACAACTTCACTTCTGATTCGTCGGTAGAAATCGTATTCAGATTCCTCGGTATCAGTGAATGATGTTGATGGTCTTGATTGATTAAGAAGATAGTTCGACTTTGGTCTGATATGATAGTCTACACTGGTTTTGCTTCTCTGAAAGAAATAAAAGGATGTTGACGTTTTTTGAAAGCGCGAATGAATTAAGCATGGATCGTTTACATCTGAATGATATTGCAGATTATAACAAAGATCAGATTAATTTTGGAGAGCTAGTGGACATACTGAATTAATAACCGCTCCAAAACCAAATGTCTTATAATAGGCTAGTAAACATTTAAAACAAGGATCGCCGGTTACTGTACAAGTAGCACAGAATGTTCTGACCACAGTCTTACTAATTACAAAAAAAGTTTGTTCAAATTGGTATCGTTTTTTTTCTGCCTTGTGTGATAAAGGATCTGAACGAAAATATAGAACTTAGTCATATGCGACATTAACAGAAAAAGAAGCGACTTGGCAACAGTTTTTGTAGAAAAATGACTGAAAAAAAATTAAAGTTTTTTTCAATTTTAATTTTGCAGGATTTTTGCCCAACATGGCTGAAAGACTCCTAAAAGTAAGTTACTCGAGTATGGCTTAGTTTTCACGGCTTCAATTAAGCCCGAGACATAAATAGGCTTTTGTAAGCCTGCTCGCTCGCTTTATTTGCTCGAATTTAGACTAAAAATTGAAAGTTTTAACCTGTTTTTCTCGATATTACAACATTTTATTGAAAAATTTTTTATGTTCGAATCACGACTGAAAAAACTCTTATATAGTATTTTGCTCGACCCATTCCAATGATAATTTGCGGTACCTGATTTTTGCGTGGAAAACTAAAAGACACATAATACAAATTTCCTTCCGATTTTCAGTGGTCGGAACAAAAAACTTTTTCTTAAATGCAAGTGGTCTTTGCTGGCCAAAATTTAATTTTAGGGGCTGCCTGCGCTCATATGAAATTTTATCGAATTAGCGCAAAATTGGCCTGATGGCCTTTTCAATCAAGCTGGGTGTTGCAATCGGGTAATAATCTTTTAAAAAAATGAAAAAAAAATCAGATGTAAATTGATTTTTTGTAGGCTTTATGAATTGCTTTTCAATTTTTGTGGGCTTATTTACCGGATCTTTTATTTCAGTTTTATTTTAAATAGTTTTTGATATATTTTTTGTTCCATTTTGAAGAGCGTAATTATAGTTTATTGGCTTTTGTTTTTTTTTACTTTCAAAAACTTGTCTGATAGCGGAACTTGTGTGATAGTACTGTGCAGCTTTTTCAGTTCAATTCGAAATTTAAAGTGATACTTCTTGCGGCAATTTTCTAATCAGGAGGCTATATTGGCTTAATAATAGTATGTGCTTTGACCGTTGATTTGTAATGAGCTAACGCATTTGATGCTTTTTTAATTTATCAATTGAAAAGAAAAAGCTATTTGTTCCAGAAAACAGTAAAAACAAATTCTGCACCGAAGTTTTTCCAAATCAGCATATTTCGCGAATTGCATAATTCATACAAAATATGACTTTACACTTGCCAATTTATTGCAATGCAAGTTTGTGGGGTTGCCGTTAGGGCAAAATTTATGTTTTTGTGCTGTTTAAAGCTACCGAAATTGAGGTTGAAGCTGTGGAGAATGAAAAAATTGCTGGCCAATGTTTCTCGACACCTGAACTAGATTTTTGATTTTTTAGAACCCCAATCACGACCATTAGGACTTAACCCCTATATACTTCCGTTAAAATTGGAAAAAACCTTATATTTCTTTCCTGCTACTCTCAGTAACGTGGTCGGAACAACCAATAAGAAGCTTTGTATTGAAAAGTTTTCAGTAGCTTTATGGGCTTCAACGCAAATTGAAGTTAAATTTTGAGAGTATCGACATTGCAGTAGCGTGCTTACTTCAGGTAGCTAATCGAAACAAGGGTAGCCGGTTACTGCACGTAGCACAGAATGTTTCGACCATAGTCTTGGAAAAAAATAATACAAAATAAACGTTTTTTGAAATTGGTGTCGTTTTTTCTGCGTGGTGTGATAAAAGGATCTGAACGAAAAACCAGAACTTCGACATTCGGCCTTTTTGACATTCAGACTAAAATACTCAAATTGGAATTTTTCGCCGATAGTGTTAGAAATGAAATTTTTGTTTCCAAAAAGTTCTAAAAAACTCCAAAAACTATTCTTTCTTAAGTAAAGCTGTTTAAACCTGTTTTTCTCGACTCTGGGACAACTTTGTGAAAAATTACATTCAAATCACGACTGAAAAAACTTTAATATGGTATATCTTTTGGCCAATTCTGATGATTATTGGTGGTACCTAATTTTGCGTGGAAAACAAGAAACCAACAGAATTTGCGTGAAAAAAAGCCAAAACACACCCGAATACAAAGTTCCTCTCTATTTTATCAATGGTCAGAACAACAACATAGTACACTACATAAGTTTGTGAGGCATCCAGCAGGAGTAGGATAACAAACGATTACCACCCAGACAAACGCCGGATTTTTTTCGCTCCTTATTTTGTCTCTGTTGTTTGGTAAAAATGTTCTATTCTTTGTTTTTTGGATATGATGATTTCTAGGTTTCTTGGAGAATGAAAACTAAAAGTTTTCGCCTATCAAAGCTATGAAATACGACATAATCTTTGAAACCGGTTGCTGCGAGAGTAGCATTGAATGCGATGATTGCAGTATTTGTTACAGAAAGTTTGACATTTCAAATTTTAAAAAAGTAGTTTCATAAAAAGGGTAAAGACCCAAGAAATAGAAAGCTTTGTTGTGCATCTGTTATTTTAAATTGGCAGTATTTTTTTATTCCGAACACAATCTTCACTCATAAATGTTCGAAAAAACGTCTTATAGTTCGTTTCCAAGGAAAAATGATTTTTTTAAATTTTGCTATCAAATTTGACCGTTGCAATTGTTCTACTTCTACCCTTACCTCCAACTGTTGAAGTCTGAAGTGAATAACTGTGGGCGAAAGATGACTAAGCTCTAATGGTCTCTTTTTATGCAGCCTCATTTTGGTAATTTTTCAGTTTCTAGTCAATGTTATTTCATAAAATTTAGAGGAGAGCTGTTTCCGAACTGTTATTGCTGTGGAAAAATTTGTTTTTTTTTGAGGTTTGTTTATTTTAGCGATCAACCAAAACAATCAAGAATTTTTGTGCGCTGTTTTAATCCCGTCGCTTTGCTCTTGGTTTTACCACAGGATAATCTTAAACTAAATCCTCTATCTGCTTTATAAAATTTCTGCCATATTTAGAAATTTATGGTATATGTAAAAGGATAAAAATAACTTACTCAAAGATCACGTCTGTGAAGTTAACTCTTTTCATAAAAACACTATTTTCTTGAGCACCTGCTGACGGTATGATGATATGAAATTTGAACTTTGGGATTTTGAATCTCTTTAAATGGCTCGGATTGATTTTTTGGACAAACTATGAAGTAAGCGACAACTTCGGTGGGATTTTCAATCATATAAAACAATGCATTTTAGAAAATTGAATTTAAACATCTCTTAGAAATTAAGTCGGTGCAAAATTTTTTGAACTGAGATGAAAAGCTTACTGGTTTTATGGCTCTTCGCATACCTTTCTAATAATATGGTCAAAAACTCAATTATTGGCTTAACGTTTGTTGCACAATTCTTAATGGCTCGAGGCTTTATTTAAAATTGTTTTTTAAGAGTATTGAACGTAGTGAACGTAGCTCTGATCTTGCTGATTTTTTTTTCAGGAAAAGTCTCTAATAACCACAGATATGCATTCATACATATTGATGCATTTATGAATGCTCTTTGATATATTTGCACTTTTTGAGTTCAATTGAAGTTCATCTGCTGAAAGTCAAGTAAATAGCACTCTCCAAATACAAACGTGGAAATGGCGCAAAAAACGTGAACGATTTCTAGTTTCGAATTTATTTTAAAGATTTCGAGCGGAATAAAAACTTTACCTGTTGATTCAGTTTTCTCTACTTTATGTTATCAAAAAAGCGGCAGTCATAAATTGTTCTAGAAACTCAAAGAGCTTAAAGGGTATCTATTTTTTTCTTCAAAATTCGAAAGTTGAGATTTTTTCAAGTAAGTCAGTGTTTGTTTTTTAAGAGTAATGAACTTAGTGAAGACTCTTATATAGGTCATGCTGATTTTTTTTAAGGAAAAATTCTTTAAATATTGATGCATTAAATCATAAATTGTTCTAGAAATTCAAAGTGCTTAAAGGGCATCATTTTTTTTCTTTGAAATTCGAAAGCCAGTGGTTTTTTTTGTTTACTTGCGTTCATTACTCTTTTCCAATCTTCGTTTTGCTATGTTTTATTATGTTTACTTGCGTTCATTGCTATTTTCCAATCTTCGATTGTCTATGTTCTGAATGATCGGTCCATTGGAATTGAAAATGAATATTTTGCCAAATTCTCATATCATAAAAGATAAAACTTAAATAACGCCAGAAGTTAGAAGTTACCTGCTTCTTGAGACTTTTCAAAGTGTTGTCCAAAAAATCTGAATCAAAATACAGACAAGAGTATAAGAAAAAAATAGACTTACCTTTCTGATCAGATCAAACTGCGGGAATTTTTTGTTTTTCTGTCAAGCTACTGTCAGAAAGAAGTGAGGCCTTGTTTTGCGTAGTTGTTTTCAGCAGTCATGTATCATAAAGTTCAAACAGCGTGTCAAGAAGTCGCTAAAATGGTTTTTAATGGCTGTTAGAATATCATTTGTATCTGTTTTTTTTTTTTAATTTTCTTCTGGTGTTTGTCCAGAATATAGCTCCAGATAACAATTAGTGGTAAGCTCATAAAAACGGCTTTTAACCACCGTATACTTGTGTTCAGCTGAGCTTTAAAACAATGAACATTGTTTATAAGATGGTTTTTGTGTTGGCTGAAACCGACTCGTTGCTTTGAAGAATTAATAAATGTTTACTTGAAAGGTCAAGTGAAGAGTGATTATTTTTTCTACGGTCGATCAAAACTTCCTTTGTCTTAGGATATACCGTATGAGTATGAAGAATGAAGGATGTAGCTGGATTGATTGAGATGACTAAATATGCTTGGGTCATGTCTTCAAAATTATTTATCCACCTCGGGATGGGAAAAACTTCATCCTGATTTTTTTTACGCAAAGAAAGTCAAGTAGCACAAAATTGTCGTTGGTGGTTGAGTCATATGTAATATCAAAGCTGCAAAGAAGTGTTCCAAGTAGGTTATACAGTTCCAAAAAACCGTAAGAGATATTCGTTTTTTGGCTCATAAGGAAGAGGCGGTTTTATGATTCAAGTTAAATTTAAGCAACCTCTCCTGGAAAACATAATAATGTAAAGAAATGAAAAATTTCCCACTTTTAACTGATTTCGCTGCGTGCACAGCACCCGAGAAACCACGATCATCTTTCGCATTTATCGAACCAATCGCAGATTGAATTGGATTGATAGTCCATTTTTTCAGATGAGTGTTGAGGAGAGTACTCTGGTGTGTCCAGGTGCTTTGATCACGCAGAATCCAGGCTTCATCAAGGGTCACGGGACATACCAGAAGGAAGACCAGCTGCAGGCTACTGTTGCTGGACACATCGAGAGGATAAACAGACTGGTCACTGTAAGACCCTTCAAGAGTGCCAGGTGAGTGAGTCTGTTTACACGTCATTGCTCGAAACTATTGAGTTGAACGCTGGAATGAAAAGAATAAACCAAAGGTTTTTTTTCTACTGCTCGGAGGCTAAAACAACGTTCGCATTTCGATTATATAGTTTCTGTAATATTGTTACAAACTTCGTTTAGCAGTTTGGTTTGTTTATCTTCAGGTACAGTGGAGAAGTGGGTGATGTAATTGTGGGCAGGATCAGTGATGTCGCTCAGAAGAAATGGAAGGTGGACATCTATGCCAGACAGGTAAATTTAGAAGTCACTTGTATGGATAGGCAAAGAGTATTTAAAAGTTAAATCATTGATGCAGCAGCAATGGATGCAGGCGTAAATTTCGTTTACTCTTACTGTTGTTCCGACCACTGAAAGTGGTATGAACTTAGTCTTCAGGTGTTTTTTTTTCACCATGCTAAATGAGTTACCACAAATGATGATCAGAATTGGTGGCGAGAGATATGGCATATTACAGCCCCTTTCATTTGTGATTCGAACGACGAAAACCGCTTCTAATGGTTTCTTATCGAGAAATGGCAGTTAGTATTTTTTTTGCTTTTTAGTCAAATTTCGAGGAGTGGTTTCGAGAGAATGGTCTTATACTAGGAAAAAAACTTCTGTTTATGCCGTAGAAAACCTAGTTTTATGCGGGAAATTTAGTTTTCGAATCTTCTCTTAGTACAAAAAATGGAATTAGTTCTTTTTTAAAATTTGATCGGAACTTCGTGCTTCTTGCAAGCAACAAGGCCGTCTTTGTTATTTTTGAAAATCTTTAGTGTGTCAGAATACCTAGAGTAAAAAAAGATGCTAAAATATGATGGTAACCAGCTTCAGTTAAATGAGTAGCAATTAATCAGACAATCACATTTAGATTCTAATCAGAGGCGGATCTAGGAATTTCTCGAGGGGGCGGATTTTGAAAGTTTTTCGAAAATTTTGTCGACCTTTTTCTAGCTCGACTAAATTGATTTTCTGAGCTACCACAGAACTGAAAAGCCCACACAGCCAAAAAATTATTTTGATAGGCTGCTTCACTTGGAGTGGCTGATCTTTTGTTCATTTGAATACGATAATTTGTTGTGTTTGTTTGATGCGATACTTTTCTTTACCATCAATGAGTTTAGGATGCGAGTCTTCAACTATCTGCAGTTAATCTTCCAGGAGGTGAGTTGAGACGGAGGTCAGTTGAAGATGAGCTGATGATGAGAGAGTACTTGGCCGAGAGTGACCTCATAAGTGCCGAAGTGCAAAAGGTGAGCTCAGAAGACGGGCTAGTACATCTGCACACGAGAAGTTTGAAGTATGGAAAGTTAGGCCAAGGTATTCTTATCGCACTGAAACCGTCGAACATCAAGAGATCCAAAACACATTTCCATAATCTACCATGTGGCGTCAGTGTCATTATGGGGAACAATGGTTACATTTGGGTTGGATCGACACTTCCGGTCGAAGACGAATCAGGAGGTCACGTGATTGACTCAGAGGTCATCCAGAGGTCAGAGCGTGAAGCGATAGCAAGAGTTGGGAATATAATAAGACTTTTGGCAGAAAATGAAGTGTTGATTTATGACACGAGCGTGATTACTGCTTATGATTTGTCCTCAAACTATGAAACGAAAGACTTGATTAAAAAGAGTGTGAAAGATGAGTTGATTGTTATGGTTAAAATGAAGCTGGCTACTCAAATATGATAGACCTAACTTTGTTTTCGTTGAATTTATTTTATCTATGAACTTATTGTGTTATATTACGGAGCCAATTTTCCAACGTATAACAATAATAATGTCACACAGTTATAAAGAAACTTTCACCTATTGCTTATGAGCTCTTACATCAAAACAAACCAATTATTAGTAGTTCAGACTCTTATAGGTCGTGATGATTTTTTTTCGTTTTTTTTTCAGGAAAAGTGTCACGCCCAAAATTGAATTTTTGCGGTTTGACTTTTGATTTTTTTAAATTCTGTTTATTTCTGTTGCCCAAAAACGTAATCGACTTCTAGTTACACTTGCGAGAGCAAGTGTCTTGTAATCGGGAGCTAGACTTTTTCCCGTAAGCAATTTTTCTTGTACATTTCTAGGAAATTGTGAAGTTGCTGTAGTATTGAACCTTAGCAACTTCGACACGTTTTCCCTCTTGGCCTAGAGCTAACGCGGATGCCTTTGCACCCTGAAGTTTTTGGGTTCGAGGCCTGGCCGGACCATGTTTATTTCAGTATCAATGACATAGAAAATTTTTTCCAGGACTTTCATTTATCTGCTTAAGTTTTGTCGGCCAAGTTGCCTTATCGGGGATTTTTTTTCGCGATATTAGCAGTTTTCGTCATAGCTGTAAACTTTTTTTTGGCTTACTTCTGATGTTTGTAAAATTAATACTCCTTCCTGGGGATAGTTTCCTTGATTTTCCTCTTATTTTCTTCTTCGCTTAAAAGCTTATTCGACCTTAAAGATTTCGGCTTAGCTACCTGATTTTGTGTCCCCTTCGAAAGCAAAATTGATTGACTTTTTTGAAACTTCAGTTAGTTTTGTTGCAAGATTTTAAAACCTAATTTCTCAAAAAAATTTTCTGGTAAAAATTTATTATAGTATTTTTATTTTCGGATCAATTGGCGTCTTCTCACTTGTTGTCGGCTTAGGTGCCGCTTGGTAAACACGTAAAGCTTATTTAACATTGGTGGTTGTGTTTTTCGAATGTGTTTTACTCATTCGATAAGCAAGAGTAGTGCAATCGGGTACTAAACTTTTTTTTCCCGTAAACAACTTCGTTCACAGAATGGACGAAATGAAATGGTAATTATTTCAATAGCACCATGGTAAGTGCAGTGTGTATTAGTTGCATATTTGTTACGGGATTTGGGTTTCTGTTAAGAGTTTTTTAAGAGTATTTTTGTGCCGAAACTTTTTGGTAGAGTTTTGGCGCTGGAAGAGGTCGGCTTATATTCTGAATGTTTTTTTTCGCTTAACACTCTTTGGTTTTATGTGGGAGTGATTGAATTCTAATATGAAGTTTAAAATTAGTTAAAATCAACCTTTTAGATTCTTAATAAGTAAAAAAATTAATTATAGAAAAAATTTCAATTTTATCAAGTAACAGAATCGATTCAAAGTTTTGATGTTTCTGGTTGTTCAATTGGTTGTATTTATCGCATTCTTTTTGGTGCAGATAATTAGCTAATTCGTTTTTTCGCTCATTTTTTGTTAAGTTTTTCGACAGTTAATTTTAAATTTTTTCCTCATTGGGTTCTAACCATTTTTTAAAATTAGCCTTTTGGTTTGAAAAACGAAGACAAGCAAGCCTGAATCCCTATCAAATCAGAATTAAGTCATTTCAAATTGTTCGGTAATTTTGTTCAAAATTGCTAGAGCCATTTGTTGTTTTACTCTATCAACTTGAATTGCTGTCTGCTACTTTTCCTGATTAACTTTTTGTATTCCTTTAGATAAAATTAGATTAAATGTGGTAAAATTGTAACGCACTAATTTTTTAGTTTTAATTTTTTTTGTTGTCAATTAAAAAAACGTTCTTTTGAATTTTTTTATATCCAGATAATTTTGATGCGTTTCTGGACTCATTCATTTTTAAAATGGCTCAATTATACCTCTTTTTTAACCTTTGTTCAGCAATATTAGTATAATTGCGTTGTTTGGTTGGAGGTTTTGTTCAGTTTTCTCTTTCTTTAAACTTGATTTTGTCGGAGTTTCTTTTTTTAGGAATTAAAGTCGGCATTTGTTTTCGGCTTCAGAACTTCAAAATCATGTGTGTTCATAGCAGCGTCTTTTTCTTGTTCCGTCCTCTTTTTTGATTCGAGTTTTTTTTGAGCAATTTTTTCTTTAAGCAAGCAGAATAATTGTCAGATTGTGAATTGTTTTGTAATTGTTTTCGACGTTTTCTCAAGAGAGGTGTGTAGTTTCAGGTGAGTTGTGTTGATTTTTTTCAGTCTTACTTGTTCTAATGGTTGCAAAAAAATTATATAATTGTTCGCTAAAAGTACTTTTTTATCCGAAAAAAAATAGAATTCGTTTTTTAATGAGTGTGCTGTTTGCTAATAGTTTCATCGCGTGTATTCTGCATAGCTGGTCACCTTGAAACGTCAGTTGGAGTCAAACTGATATTTTTAATTGTTTATTTTTCAAAAATGTTTTCAACAATTTTCCAATCTGATTTATCAAAACTTTTTCTAGGCATACATTTTTGTCTATCGCAAGTAGTGTGCGAATCTCTACTCCGCCTCTCTGTCTGAAATTATTTTCATTTTTCCTAAAAAGAACTTTTTTTCCAATTTGGGATTTCCGTCTCATTTTTTATTCGCAAGCTTGCAATGCTGCGTTTGGGTTGTATCACAAGTGATGCGAAGCTCCTCTTTGCCTCTTTGTTTTGTCGAAAGTGGAAACTAGCTTTAAGGTTTCCCAGCGGAAAAAAAACTTTACTTAATAATCCAGTTTTCTAAAATTGGATTAATTTTATCAAACAAGCACCAATCGTAAATTTTTCTAGAAATTCAAAAGAGCTCGAAGACCATCTTTTTGTTTAATTCGAAAGGTAAAAGCTGATTTTTTTTCAAAACAAGTAGGTATTTTTTTCTGTTTCCTTGCGTTCTTTGATTTTTGCGTAAAACTTTTTTGAAATAAATTTGATCATACTTGATTACTTGTTTATTGTGTACGCTAAACTCAGCTCTTCCATGATGGTTTTGTGATTAGTCACCTTCCTTTTACCATCCGAAAAACGCCAAAATGAGCCTTTCGTAAATTTTTCTACATTGTTGTAGTAATTACAATAATTGAGCCGTGTAACAAACCTATACCGTACCTGAAGGAAATTCAGAAGTGACTGAAACTGCAACAACTGAAAACCTTGAACTTACTGGTGATTTGTTATTGTCAATGAGCTCTTCTGAATTAAACGCCCAACATAGTCTTTTTTTCGCACTTTTAACATAAGCAAACGATGTATTATGTTCACTTTTACCAATCCAGCTAGCATAATTTAGGGCTATACAAATAGGCTTTTTTTTGCTGCATAGCGCTTGAGAATTTGCTATTCAATTGCATATGTTGTATCCGCTTTATTTAAGGTTTGTTGGAATCCAGCAAGGCCTGACAGGACAGTTAAAAAGAAATAAGACTCAAACTTCGAGGGACGGGTTGCAATTTTTTTAAGAGTCGATAAACGTAGGCAGACTCTTATATAGGCGATAATTTTATTTGCGCTTTATTTCAAAAGTTTTTTTACAGAAGTTAATTCATGCGTATTTTTGCATTTATGAATACTTCAAGATATATATGCACGATATGATTTCAATTCATTTTCATCTGCTAAAAGAGTTAGTAAGTTTCGCGATCCAATTACGAAAGATTAAAGGTCACGAAAACGTGATCGACCCCTAGTTTTGAAATTGGAATTTTATTTTCAGATTTCCCAGCGGAATAAATATACCTATTGACCCAGTTTTCTCAATTTGAGTTAAATTTATAAAAATTGTGTACACCATAAATTGTTCTTGAAATTAAAGAGATGTAAAGCCATTTTCTTTTTACTTTGAAATTGTAATGTTAAAGTTTTTCAAAAAGCAAGTCAGTGTTTCTTTTATAATTCCATGCGTTCATTGACTCTTTTCTTATTGCCTCTTGGGGCTATTTTCTAAAGCTTATTGCTCTCGTATTTTCTTGCATATTAAAAGTGTTCGCCATTTTTTACATGTCCATTTGCCCTTGCCATAAGCAACGGTATTGCAACCGGGTACACTTTTTTTCTCGCGTAAATAGCTTCGTGCTTAGAATGATCAATTAAGAATGAACTTACAGATTTTAAATAGTTCCGGTGCCATATACATTTTACGTGTTCCGCTTTTGTAGGCTTCACAAATGCTTTGTAGGCGTTACATGCAGGTTCTTGTAATGTTATTGTTTTTCTCTGAAAAATTGTCTGATTATTTTCATAGGTCTAAACTATGTCGATTTCTTGCGTTTTTTTTCATTTAGTTTCCTGTCCGTTTTTTTTAAAATTGAAATTGATTCAAATTTGGCAATTTATGTACAAAAGTTATTAAATAAAATCACCGAAACCCTTTTGAAAAACCAAAAAAATTCTTTTCACAGAGGTAATTTGATATAAAATTTAACTTCCTTTTGAGCACCATTCTGTATTTATTTTCCGTTTTGGTGAAGATAATTGAGCATGAGTTTATGAGCAACTTTCTTGGTATAATTTTTGATCAGTTTTTGTCGTCAACTGGTTTTTTATATTGGTTTAAGTGCGTTGTTGCGTATTTTTCTTGCAACGGTAACCGTTCTAAGGAGTAGACTCGTGTTTAGAAAGCAGAAATGCTATCAGGTCAAAACATACTTTTTGAAAAAAGCTCAGTTGTTTTTCACTATGTTTTCTAATACACATTGTTTTTCTCACGTTCTGTATAGTTCTTTTTAATTCAATTTTGAGCAGTACAAAATTAGTTGAGCTTTTTTTCTCACCAAGTATTTCTGTCGGTGACGAAACAAAACGGAAATAGATGTCTGTTTGTTCGGCTGCGTGGCTTCTGGTTTTTTTTTTGCCCCAGCTCGTATGGACTTAATTTCTATCTATTTAGCGTCTTAATTTTAGTCATATATAAGAGAAAATTTTTAACTGCTTCAGGTCGCTCAGCTATTTTAAACTTCGAAGAATGCCATATCCAAATTCATTTTTCCGCATTGAAGGTTTCCTTGATCTAATTGGTTTCGTCTTGTTATATCAATTTAGTTGACTAATCTTATGTCCTCTGAAAAAGCGGAACTAGGTTTTTATGCGTTTGTCTGCATCGGAGAGGTCATAAAAGTGGAATGTCAAAAATCATATCTGAAAAAAAAATTGAATTGATTTTTTCCCTCTTAATGTTCGTCTGGAACATAGCTTGAATGCCATGTATTTTTTCTTTGAAATTCGAAACTTGAAGAGACCGGTAGAGATATGTAATGACTATTGATTAGATGACTTTTTTTTGTTCCATAGTGCCCATTACCCGAGCTTTAAACTAGGTCCTTACGCGCTTACGTTGTACGATCAGTTCCCTTTCCAACCTAAATTACAGCATTGTTTTCAATTTCAACATTGTGCTTTCTTTAAGATGATATATTTTCTCTTTGAAACGTAAAATGTTAAAATAGCTGACGTGCGTTTTGATACTAATATCCAGCGTAAAGGCTTGAAACTTAATGATACTTAAAATCTTGATACTTGATTCTATCCAATTCTTTTGCATGATTTAAGGCTTGCACCTGGAATTATCTTAATACTTAGCACGTAACTGTGCCATTCGATTTTGGTGGAATCGCTCATACGCGAAGGACCGAATGCGCGAAAATAGAAATCAGCGAATCGGATTTCAGTAATCTGAAATTTGGAAAGGAAGCAAACATTTCCAGGGACTGAATATTGATATTGGCCGCCGCCGCCAAATTTTCACTGACCGCCGCCGAATTGGAACAAATTTTATGTTTCAATGGTTTCATTATGAAAGAAGCAAAATATTGCTTCATTTAATTCATTTTAATTGAATGGCAACTGCTTCTTTTTAAAAATTGACTTTCGGCTAATTTTGTTTTCGGTCCTTCGATCACGAGTTTTTTTGCCCATTCATAGAATATCCCCCTATAAGAGCAAAAAATTGAACTTATTTGAGCTGTAAGTTCTCTTAGCGCTTGCATTTTGTTTACGTGAATACTTTCTCATTTTTCACAAAAGAAAATTTTGATGGTTTTACCAGCGAGTCAGATTACAATGAGAAAAAAGTTTGGTGAAATCGAAGGGGCAATTCTCATGCGCAAAGGACCGAATGGGCGAAAAAACTCGTGATCGAAGGTCCGAAAACAAAATAAGACTGACTCGCTGGTAAAACCATCGAAATAGTTTTTTTGTGGAAAATGAGAAAAGTATACACCTAAAGAATAAGTGACTTGCGTCCTTTGTAAAAAAAATGCAAGCGCTAAGAGATTTTACATCTTAAATAAGTTCAATTTTTTGCTCTTATAGACACAAAAAGCACTGATAGAAATTTTTAGTTGAAGATGAAGACACCAGATAGTACTTCAAGTTCTTCGAAATATGAGGGCTGTTCATCAAGAACAACCACACCGTGTACACCTGAAGCTCATGGAAGTAATAAATTGGATAAACCAATTCAAGATACGGATTTGTACGTACATGATGTGTTCAAAGCGAAACTGATTCTTAACGAAGCAAACGTCGATGAAACAGGTGACATGATTAAGACTCCCTTGCAGGAGCAGAAATGTCTAATTTCTGCGAATAGTAGTGCGTCTTCTGCCAAATCACAGCCGAGCTTCTCGCCTCTTCCTCTCACCCCTTCCCCAGCGAGTGTAACTGGGAAGGGGTTGCAAGGAAGTGCGAAGGTTATTCGAAATGGAATAGCTGGTAAGAGGCACATGAATCTAAATATAACCTGAAGTCAATGAATAACTGGATCCTTGGAGTTTTAAAATGTTCTTTGGTTTGCTAGCTTGTTACTCATGTTTGAGACCTGGAAAGAAAATGCTGCCAAAATAATGAAAAATTGATAATTATGGGAAATTTCAGCTGCCTCATTTTTCAGAGAGATTGAATCTCAAAAATACAAAACGTAAATAAGATATAATTTCTTTTGATAATAAGATATCTTTTGGTTAACATTAATTTTTGGGGTTAAAATTATGACTTCATTTTTCACCACAGATTTGACAAACTTGTCTTTAAACTGGAAACAATTACAGAATGATAGCTACTCTCAATTCGTGAAGGTACTCGATCATGTGGCGTCGTATGAGAATGAGGACAATTCGGGTCCAAGATTCACCAAAAAGTACGACGAAAAGTTGAATAAATTATGTGCAGCTCTTTCTGACTGTCTGTCTAAATTGCAAAAAGAAGTCAATTCTATGCGAGAGATACAACACAGGTTTCAAAAATGCGAGGACTTGCAAAGAGCTCAGTTTGAATTGCAGCATGAAAGTTTCGGAATTAGTGCTGAGTTGCTGAATAAATCGATATTGTTCTATTCGTGGGAGATCAATCAGTTCGTGGAAAGTTGTTACAAAATATTGAAGGCATATGAAGTGCAGGTAACTAATTTTATTGTTATTCAAATTGCTACTACGGCCAATTGAGAAGCTGAATACAAACTTATAACTTTGCAATACCCAGTCAAAATTTCAATAGGTGAGTACTGTGCAAGTTGCACAAAGTTTCGATCACAGCTACTGCGCAAAAAGAGAAAAAATTGAAAACAATAATCCAATTCTTACAACTTACACTCGTGAGAGCAAGTGTCTTGTAATCGGGAACTAAGTTTTTTTTCCCGTAAACAATTCTTAATTATCTGTACGAAATTGAAGTTGCTTTATTAGTTAACCTTAAGCATCTTCAAGTCTCCATTCCACTTGGCTTGAGGTAACACCGTTGCCTTTGTACCCTAAGGTCTGGGTCCGAGTACCGGGCGGACCTTTTTTCAGCATGTCTGAAAAAGAAAAAAATGGTCCGGGAAAAATTGAATAGTCGGACTTCCGTTTTCTGCTTATGTTTTGTCGGCTTAGTTGCCACACCGGGCAATATTGTTGTGCTGTCATCAGTTTTCATCGAAGATGAAAGCTTTTGATTTAAATCTGTAATTTGTAAAATCAATAGTCCGGAAATTGTATTTTTTCCTTTGTTTTTGTTTTTTTTTCGCTTGAAAGCTTTATTCGGCCTAAATGGCTTCGGCCTAGGTTTTATCGACTGAGTTACCTTATTTTGTTTCGCTTCAAGTGCAAGTTTCGCTTCAGGTAGTTTGTGTTGCAAGATTTCAAATTCTTAAAACTTAAATGCTCAAAATTGTGACTTGACAACAATTTCTTATAGTATTTTCTGTTTTCTCACTATCTATCGGCTTACTGACCGCTCGGTAGATACTAAAAGTTGATTAATACTGGTGTTGTGTTTTTCGAATTTTTCGGAAGTTATTATATTTTTTTGCCCCATTTTTTTTGTTATTTCCGTGTCATTTTCTATTCGCTAGCTTGCAAAGCTGCGCTTGAGTTGTATGTATCGCAAGTGAGGTGAAGCTCCGCTTCGCCTGTGCTTAAATTTGTTTCGACGCAGTGTGCGAGGTTATTTGTGCGTGTGTGCTTCAAGAACACGTTAGTTACTCATAATTTCAATAGCTAAAATCGATTGTCTTTGGAAGTAATTATCGACTGTCATGATTATTAAAACTTTTTCTTGGGTTCTTGCTTGCTTAGCCTAAGCCAAGCAAAAAGTTGGCAAAATTTTATTTGCAGCTCTACTGGCGAAATAGCTCGTTTCAATGTGATATTACTCGACGCCATTTTATGCGTGGTGCCTGATTTTCCATGAAAAAAAAAACGCCAATTATGTTGCTTTCCAGAAGATGTGGTCGGAACGATTACTCGTAATCCCTGAACTATTTAAGTTTTCACATCTTTTCATTACCAGCATGAAAGCAATGGATTAGCTTTTGGTGCTTTCCAGCTTTTAATTAGTGGAAAGTCAGTAGAACCGCATGTTAAATTCTCTGGCTGAAATAATTCTTTGTCTAAAGGTATTCGGGTTTTGAAATTTTTTCCGATTTATTTCAGACGCAATTGCTAAAGAGACTATCAACAGACGTCATTCTTCTACCATCTGAACAAATGAACAACAAGGATCTACGAGTGTTCTACCTTTCTGCATGGCTACATACACCATACCTCACACAAGAAATCGAAGCAAAACTTCACCTAATGCAAATTGAAACCGGACTGGAACCTTTCTGAAGGCTTTTTACTGATGTTATTTTAGTTTTTTTTTTCGAATAGAAAAGATGAGAGGGAGAAGTAGCGGCTGATTCGTTGTTGTGAGAGAATGCAGGTCCTTCATTCAATTTTTGTAAACTGAAGTGGGCAGGCCAAGGTCATAAAAATTGACTGAGAAAATAACCAAATGATTTTTCACCTTGCTTAGTCGATTATCTATAATTAACTAGAGTAAGACTTCACTAATAAATTTACAGAACTGGCTCGAAGATATGCGTGAAATCTATGTATGAAAATAAACGTAGGTGGTCTTCGCCGCCCAGTTTGTTTTGACCATATAACTAGTCGAGCTCGTAGACGAGCCGGTGAGTCGACGAAAAATTGGACGAGACGACGAAACTAACAACTTTTCACTAGAAGTACTGTAAGACACCAACACTAAGCAATCAGCGTTCTCTGAAGTGCTGTAATAATTTAATCATTCCAGGCAAAAATTTAAATAATTCAAAACTAAATCAGACCAAAAAGACGAAATTTTATCCGCTGCTCCTCGACAAGCAATGAAATTTTTTTTCCGGCAAAATATGGTTCGACTTAGAAATTTGGTTCGAAAATAATTATAAGTTATATTGAAGCCCTCTCATTTTTATCATCACAGTAATTAGCTGACACAAAAAAATTTGAAAAGCCTACTCAGTTTTGTCAAAATTAGGGTGAAAATATAACTCAGCGTTTTTATAGGAAAAACTACAATAATGTTTCTTTATGAAGCTAAAATAACACTTCCTGTGTAAGAATTAAGCACCTGCTTGAGTTTCAAACCGTAGAGATCGAGTCCAAGCCAGAACTTGGTTATTTGTTTGAAAGTTTTTAGTACTGTCAACTTGATCTTAGTCTCAATTCTGGCAGGCTTAATTACCATTATTTTTTTCAAACAATCAGTATAACCCATTTTTACACAAGCAAAGCTTGCGTGATAGTATGAACTCTTTTTTTTCCAACCTAAGTCGCAAATGTTAGTGTTCATTTTGAACAGTTCATTTTGATCAAAAACCAGCTATTAAGTACAGCCAATGCTAAGGATATTAACACAGACTATTATATTATGAATAGCACTTTAGCTTCAAGGTATCATGGATCTGTAGCGTAGAGGTAGGGAAGGATACCCGCAGCAAAAAGAAATGGTTTAAACCTGGGCAGGGTCGGATGTTTCTAATCAACTTTTTTGTAATTTAGTTAAAATGCGTCCGCTCTATAAATTGAGGCATGTTAGTTGGCAAATTTCTTTTTTTGTTCAAATTGACTGGTACTGCTAATGCGTCATAATTGGCTTGCGTTTTTTAGCTATTATGTAGACTCATAATTGGCGTGCGTCAGATTTTGTTGACCCACAGTTTTACTCATTCAATGTTTCCCAGTAGAGTTATCGGTCATAACTTTGCTTGTGAATGCGAAGTGCAATTTTGCCAGAGTAAAGCTTAGTTTTAGGTCTCTTGCTCGTTTATATAAAACGATCAAGCTATTTTGTTCCTCTGATTCTTAGGTTTTCAAGCTTTTCGGCCAAAGCTCAGTCGGTTTAGTCTTAGGTTTTCAAGCTTTTCGGCCAAAGCTCAGTCGGTTTAGTTTAAGACTGATAACTTGCATTCAGGCGTGGCATGTGTTTACGCAATAACGTAAATGGAACCTTGCAAGGCGTCTCTCTGAAGATTCTTGAGTGTAGTGTTATGTTCTTAGAAATATATCTTTTTCATGTTGATTTTTTGTCACGGTTGAGCACCCCGCTACTAATTTTTGAAAAAAAAATGTGAAAATTACACGTGGCTTAACTTGCTTCATAATCAATTCAAATCAAGCAGCTATCCAGTGCATCTGGCGTCGAGGTAACACAACTGCTTGAGACGAGCAAGCATTGTAGTTGAAATCCGGCCGGGGCCGTTTTTTTTTTCAAACTGGTTTTCCGCTGCTTTTTCGTTCTATTGTCCCTCGTTTTTTTTTTTTTGCTGGATGTTTCCGAGTTCCCGTAACACAGTTTTTTCAGCTTTCTTCTAATTTTCCAAATGCCATTCCTGAAGTTCGATTTATAGAGATAATTGATTTAAAATATTTTTAACAGAATTTTAGTTAGGATTTTGAAAAATAAAAAAAATTTCTAATAAAAAATTTTTTCGAATTTTTGCTTCGCTGTTTAATTTGCTGGGAGTTTTGGTGCATTAGACTATAACGCAATAGCGAGCGTTATGAATTCCGAACAAAGAATTTCTCAAATGTTATTGTCTCAAATCTGTAATTCAACGAACCAAAAGTTCAGCATGTCAAATATCCGTTCTATTCAATATTTGTTTTTCATGTTGCTTTCAAATTTACCATCCTCGGTGAAGTTTAGTTTCTGTTTTTCTCCTTTTTTTAGTTTACTCTGTTCAAAAGGTTTTCTGACATCATATTGCGTCGTTGATTTCTATGTATGTGATTTTTTGAGTATGCAATTTAATAATTTTTCAATTTTTTTTCAAGAAAAGTTTTTTTTTGGCTCAGGGTGTCCGCTCAAAAATTTCTGGCTTTGTTACTATTGCATACTTTTTTGTCTCGATGAAAAATAGCTTTGAAATGTCTGGTTTGGCGTGTTTTTGAAATTGAATTTTGTTCAAGACAATTGAGACAAATACGAGAAATGTTGGTAGATCTAGTTTTTCTGGACATTTCGAAAAGAGTTTTCTTTTTAGAGGTTTTCTTTTCAATATCTGTCTGCTAGTTTTTTTTTGTCATGCTATGTTTGTGTTGTGTAAAAGTGGTAACAAGACGCCCCTGTGCATAGAAAATTTAATCAGATGGAATAAATAAAATTTTTCTTAGTGAAAAATTTTTTGTTTTTATTTTGACCATTAGAAATGGCGAGAAACTTTGTCTTAAGATGTTTTTAGTTTTTTTCCTATTTGTTTTCTTGCAAAATTAGGTATTACAACTTGATTCATCTTGATTCGAAAGACATTTTAAAAAATTTTAATGGATCGCAGTTCTGAGAAAAAAAGGTTTGAATTTTTTGACTTTGGTCTATTTTCGAGCAAATAAAATGAGAGAAAAATTTTTTCCACGCAAAATCAGGTACCGAAAGGTCACCGGACTGGAATGAGTGACAAATCAGTCGTGATTCAAACATGAAAAATTGAGAAAGGTATCCCAGTGTCCCAGTGTTAAAAAAAACGAATGAAGTCTGCGAACATGCTTAAATTTTATTCAAGCCCTGAAATTTTAATTCCATTGTAGTAAATAAGCTTTTCAGTTTTTTAAGCATCGTCTTGGAAATAAAATTTTCAAAAAAATTGCAAAAAATCTTGAATTTTTTTGATTTTGCCATTTTTTTAGTCATTTATTTACAAAATGAATGTCAAATAGACCTATTTTTTTTTATTACTGTCGAATATAGCAGAGTTCTACTTTTCGCTCAACGACACTAATTTGGAAAAAAAACTTCTTTTTCTGGAGTTTGTTTCGAGAATATGTTTGCAACATTTTGGGTTACTTGTACAGCATTCGGCTATCTTTGTTATAGTATATGGATACATTCAATAGCATTATACCCATATAAATGCTATACTGCTTTTAAAATTTCAGACAACTATTAGTCTGTATGCTACATAAAGTTTGGCTCGACATTGCGAATCTAATTCTTGCAAAATACTGTGAAAAAAGTGCTCATTTGATAGCATTTTGGCATATAGAGTTGACAGTAAAATAGTATGTGCTTATAAGGTGGCTCATGTTCCAGGATTGTCAAGCGGCCATGAGGCAGATGCTCCGATGTATGACTTCTTATCTCCAGGTTGCATGTTCAAATTTGGCACATAGCAGAAGATTTTATAAGGCTTAGTTTTAACTTTGTCGTTTTTTTAAACCGGCTGAGAGCTGTTTTTGACGTTTTTTTTCGCGTGTTTGCGTTGTGCAGATTTTCCGCTGTGTTACGCTTCCAATAAGCGAGCGTTTTTAGATCGGAGCTGACTTTGTTTCAGAATCATTAGGTTTTCTTGAAAATGTACTTTACTGTAATGTAACTCTGTGAAATGGAAACTTTTTTTTTCTAATTTTTTTTGAAAGAAAACAAAACTGCTCGTATCAGGGCAAAGCCCTGATTGTTCCGACTGCCTTTTAAGGTTTAATGGAGCAGTAATGACATAAAAAATTTGAATGCAATAAAAAAATGAATTTTTTTTCCAAAATTTGAAATTTTTTTTTTGAAAATCATCCCCACCACACGCCAAATAAAATACAAAAGGATAGATTTCGTTCTTTTTTTACAAATCAATTATGGCAAATAAGCTTCTTTCAACCAATTTGGAACGATTTTAGGACGGATTAACTTTCCGCTTACGCGTTAATAGCGCAAATAAATCGAGCGTTAATTGTCCCAAATTGGCCAAAATGGCAAGCTGTAAACCCCCATAACTTCACAAAAAATGATCACAGGTGATATATCTTTTCAAATTTGAGCTCAGGACAACAAAAACTCATGCTTGACAAAGTTAGATTCTTTTGTATCAATTCGTTCTCGCCTATTCACAACTTTTTACTCGATATATCTAAAGGTTTTGATTTGAAACTTCAGGGCAAACATTTAGTTGTTAGTGATTGAGTTTCTTAGAAAGAAATATGCTTGAGTATTTAGAATTTAGAGGGATTGAAGACTAACTACTCTTAGCTTTGATCTTACAATTTTAACAAGGAAATGACAAAATGATTTAAATTTTCCACTCAATCTTTGATTGATAAAATTGACGCTCGAGAATTCAAAAAACTAACAATATATAAAATGTACATTTCAAATCAATTGTTAATATACACACGCACAAAAATTGTGATTTTTTTAATTTAAGATCTCTTTTTATATTAAAAAGTTTATACACATTAACAGGTTCATTAGAACTAGCAAAATTTTACCCCGTATCTAACAAGTTTTTTTTTGTGTTTCTGTGAAAAAATGCTTTCTGTCCATTCAAAACTTCTGGCCCAATTTTTTTGCTATTGATACAA